TATCCTTCCTTCTTGATGGAGGAGATAAGACAATCCATTCACGTTTAATAACTATATTAAATTTTAGGTCACTGATGTAAGCATAGATTATTGTCTTGAACTTGTAATATTATTGTCACAAATCCCGCTATTCAGCGGAGCCTTTTTTACACCTTGTATTGTGACATGTCAGGGATTCCATCTGACATTTATTTAATCTTAGGGCTACATGATGCATACTTTATTGTTATAAAAGTAATGTACATTGCATGCATCATTTTTTATGTATTCATATTGCACCAGACTGTGGATGACCTCAAGTCTTGATACTAAATATACATTATCGTATTGTGTCTAAGCGTAAAAACTATACCAAATAGCATGCGATGAACAATGCTGTGACGTAATTGACCTATGATACACATTATTGAAAAAAGTGTTTGCGCATTTGCCTCTACAGTTCTTTACACTTAATTAATACATAATGCACAGTACAGTAGAATTTGATTTCACTATTTTTATCACAATAGAAATGTTATACATGAATAATTTTAATAGCTCAGATCTGCCATCATTTGAAGATGGTTCTAAAATAGGTTTTGTTGATGGTCTTATGAAGTGTTCGAAGATTTTCTTGCATACTTCTTTCGTTGAAACAAACCCCATACAATTGCAAATTTTATCCAGTTACAGGGCCGGCGCTTCCTATAGGTCAACTAGGCGGCCGCCTAGGGCACTGCTTAAAGGGGGGCGCCGGCCCTGGATCTTTTATTGCTCAAACACAGCGACCGCCCCTCTGTCTTTGAATAATTATACTGCTTGTTTCGTACTAGGGAGCACTTACATGGCTGCTGACTAGCGCCCAGTGTAACACTGGTCCGGCAGCATCCCCTTTAGCCTGTTCAGCCAGGCCCCACACAAGGACTCCCATTGACGCAGCAGCGCAAGGGCACTTCAATTTCTTGCTCTTGCTCCCGTGCAATAATCATGCTGTCTAATCTTGTTATGCCACACCTGTGAAGTGGATGGATTATCTCGGCAAAGGAGAAGTGCTCACTGACACAGATTTAGACAGATTTATACTTTTGTTCAGTGTATAAAAGCTACCAGCACTAAATTACTACACATGGAAGCTAAACATTTAGATAGAGTTGTGAACAATATTTGAGAGAAATAGGCCTTTTGTGTACATAGAAAAAGTCTTAGATCTTTGAGTACAGTTCATGAAAAATGGGGCCAAAAACCAAAGTATTACGTATATAATTTTGATCAGTGCATATATTTATATATATATATATATATATATATATTTTTTTTTTTCAGTTAATGATTGTATTTGATTTTACATAATGGATGATCCTGAAGATAAATTTAGCAGTTACCATGACTCTTGTGTTGTACTCAGCAGTTAACTGGCCAGGGCCGGTGCAAGGATTTTAGCTGCCCTAGACAAAAAAAAAATTGCCGCCACATTTGTTCCACCCACTCATGCAAACTGACATACACTGACCCAAGCAGACTGATGCACACGCACTGACCCACGCAGACTGACGCACACTCACTGACACACGCACACACTGACCCATGCAGACTGATGCACACACAATGAAGAAAGCAGATTGATGCACACGCACACACACTGATGAATGCAGAATGACGCGCGCACACACACTGACCCATGCAGACAGACACATACACACATACAGACACACACACGTTGACCCATACTGCGGACACACTCTGACCCATGCAGTTTGGGGATCATAAAGGGGTTATGTAGAATAGTTGGCCTTGTTTCTGAGGAATGACACCACTGTACTCCTGGTATTCTGGTTGCTGCCCCTTGATGTCTCAGATGATGTGCGTACATACACATGCCTAACCGAGAAATTACATACATGTTATGCACACTTGGCATTTTCTCCAGCAGAACTAGCAAACAATTGAATCGTGTGTACAGTACTTCATGAGTTAACTAATTTAAATTCACCTAGCAAGCCTGTGAATTAAAAAAACAAAACCAAGAAGTTATAACAAATTTAAAAAAGAAAAAAAAATAACACAGCCAATAGCTAACTTTTAGTTAACTATTAAACTGTGCTAAAATGTAGAAAGAGACAGTTTTTATACTTGTGCAAGGCAAAAAAAAGTGTTTTATTTTTTTTCCCCAAAATAAAACATTTTTCAGGGTAACAGAATTTCGGCCATATGTTGGGTTGGCTTGGCAGAATTTCGTCACCTAAAAACTAATTCCGGAAACAAAATTGCAGTACACTGAGCAGTATTTTCCCAGCATTTGGTTGACAGGTCAAGTGAGATAAAGTAACAAAATAGAGGGAAAAATAAAAGGAGCAGTAAAAAAAAAAAATTTATATTTATACAATTATTAAATATTTAATAAACAAATAGTTTTTTGACTGCTTCTCCTTACTTTTTAATCTATTTGTTACTTCTCACTTGACCTGTGAATGAAATCAACATTTAGTGACTGTGCCCTAGCCATCAATCATCATTTCCCTACTAACCCCTTCCCCACGCTGGACAGAAATTTTCCGTCATGCTTGTCCAGCCGTTAAAGAGACATTCCAGACACCAGACCACTTCTGCTCATTGGAGTGGTCTGTGTGCCAACTCCCACTACTCTTAACCCTGCAACTGTAATTATTGCAGTTTTTTATAAACTGCAATAATTACCTTGCAGGGTTAACTCCACCTCTAGTGGCTGTCTACTAGACAGCCACTAGAGGGCACTTCCTGGATCAAAGCACAGATTATCTGTGCTAGTGTGTCGTTGGACTTCCTCACGCTGTGTGAGGACCTCCAGCGTCGCTCATTTCCCCATAGGAAAGCATTGAAAAGCACCCCTTCACCCCTTCAGGAACCGGGGATTGGGGAGTGGGAGGGAGAGGGGACCTGCAGTGCCATGGAAAACGGATTGTTTTCCTGGCACTTGAGTTTCCCTTTAAGGACGCATGATGGAAAATTTCCGTCATTTACTAAAGTTATCCCCAGATCGCCGCAATTGGAGCAATCGATGGGTTAACGCTCCTCCAGTCTTCCTCGGTTGACTGCAGAGCACCTGTGCTGCAGAGACTCCTGGTCCATCTTGCTACACTTTTGTAGTCAGTGCGAAGAGCAGGGAGATGGATCAGTGCTGATCTTCTCCCTGTGTAAAAATAAAATAAAGTTAAATTCAACCCCCTTTCACCCATTTTTATCAAAATTAACCCCGTCACTGCCATTTGATCACTTACTACAGTGATCAAAATACAGATCACAGTAGTTTAATGTGATCTGATTTTTTTTAACCACTAAGGGATAACTTTTAATTTTTTTTTAACCCTCAGGGGTTTAATTTATTGATTAATTTAAATATTTTAAATTTATATATTTAGCTTGCTGGGGAGGGTGGAGGAAGTTAATGGGGAATTGGGGAATTTGGTGTTAGGCTAGCTAGAGGTTAACGTTAGAAAAAGTTTTTTTTTTTAAAAAGCTTTAAAAAGTAAAAAAGCTTTAATAACATTTTTAAAAAGTTAAAAATATCCCATTAACTCCTTCCCTGCCAGTTGATTACTGCCTTCAGCGAGAAGTATGTGAGAAGATACATAGCTTAATTCTGTGCTTCATAGATGCCAGAGATTTGAAGACTTTTTCGAGATTGGCTGCCCTCCAATTTCACTACTGGAGTACTGGCAAGTACTTCTTGCTCCACACTTTGACTCATTCCTCATGTGAATCTAACTGCCACCCAGACTCCATGTGGTGTAGACCAGGTCAACCATGCCATGACTGAAAAAATTGTAAATACCTGTTGCAAAGTCCCAGTGAGGTCTGCGGAGAAAGAACATCTATGTCTACTACCCTACCCAACTATAATGGCCATGTAAGCAATGGGCTCCAGGATCCACCTTTGTGCTGTGATAATTTTTCATGTTCCTTTATGACTCTACTATTCTTTACCTGTAGAAACACCTACAAGGGTACAGATATAACTGATTTGGAGACTTGGAGTGGGGTGGGGAGACTGTGTGTTTTCTGTTTGAGAGTTTGTAGTGGACGAAGCGGGAGCTCTGTTGAGGTAGGCAGGCTGAGTGTGTTTGTGTGTGTTGGCTGAATTTTGTATTAGGAGGGGAGTCTGAGTGTGGTGTCTGTGTGTGTATAGCGGCTGTAGTGTCTGTATAGGGGATATAGCAAGAATGTGTATTGTTTAAAGAACTGAAATGTATTATGTATGTATAGGTAATGTAGTGTGTTTGTTTAAAGGGGATAAAGCATTTAGAGTGGCTATATTGTGTGTGTGTATAGGGAATCCTATAGGGAATTTTGTGTCTACAGGGTATCTTGTGTGTGTGTACAATGCCTGTAGTTTCTGTGTGTAAATGTGGGAGCTAATATATTGTTGGTAAGGGGTAAGAGGAAATCAATTTTCATTTTTAAAAAATTTTTTTTATTAATAATCCCTGCTTATCTTGTGCTGGGGGGGGGCACGAGGTGGCATTCAAAACTGTGGTGATCCAGTGGCGCTATTATCTAATCTTCACCTCTTCCAAATGGAGACTGAGTATATGCCTCTTGCAAGCCCTGTCACTATGTAGTGTGTTTTGTATGTAGAGTACTTTGGGTTGTTGAGGGATATCTTTGATCCTCCTCACTGGCCCATGGCCGCCGACCAAGCATTTTCCTGATTTGCCTGAACGTAAGTCTGGGTCTGGCCCCCTTTTAGATAGAGCTGGGCCCCTGTCTAAGCCCAGGCTATAGGTGGCCAGTCATGCCTTCCAATGGATAATCTGGCTCTGAGCTTATTAGCTTCTAAAATTAACTGCTTTTGAAACTACTTCAACTCTTCAGCTCTTTCTGATTTCTGATATTCTGGACATTTTGTAAAAGCTGAAACCATGGGTATATGAGTGCACTACCAATTTCTTTAATATGAAGATGTTCTTTAAGTTACACATTTATATTGTTCATCACTGAAGGTTGCTCTTGAAAGTTTTTTTTTCTAAAAATAATAAGAAATATTAGCCAAGTGCATAGGGAAATGTACATAGACACTACTAATTTATTTTAAATATACAGTATATGGGAAACACAGAACATAATTACTATACAAATATATATAGAGAGAAATGCTTAAGTAATACAAAGCTCTCTGATATGTTGAACGTGATATCACACAAGTCCTGAATTTCTTCCATATGCTCCAGCAGAAATTGAGTTAAATAGTCTTGGCAGACGCATGGACCATAGTATTGGAGAGAGCCCTGTGTCTCTTCCAGTGGCACACATTTGGCATGGGAAAGGCATATTAGTCACTTGCCCAGTGACCGTTGAGTTTTCTGGCACTGTGGTTGGCCGTTCTTCATTTTATGGTGCTATCTGTATGAAAAAAAACAAGCAAACTTGTTACATCAGTTGAAAAACGCAGTCATGACCACAGGGGCATATTACTGGTTAACAGGCCACAGTTATAGTAAACTTCAGAAAATTATAAACACAGCAGTATTAAACCAAATTGAGGGCAGGGGCAGCAATTTAAATAAAAATGAATGGTTTTATGTATACAATCTTAGTTCATCCTAGCTTAGGCAGCATATGAAAGCATGTATCTGTGGGATGGTATTTCGGTATGTATAAATGCAGGGATGTGTTTGTGTTAAAGGACCACTATAGTGCCAGGAAAACATACTTGTTTTCCTGGCACTATAGTGCCCTGAAGTTGCCCCCACCCTCAGGGTCCCACTCCCGCCCGGCTCTGGGGAGAGAAAAGGGGTAAAACTTACCTTTTTTCCAGTGTCGGGCGGGGAGCTCTCCTCCTCCGATCCACCTCCTCTCCTCCCATTCGGCTGAAGGCGCACGTGCGGCAAGAGCTGCGCGCGCCTTCAGCCGGTCACAGTGAGAATCACGCATGCGCCTCTAGCGGCTGTCAATGAGACAGCCACTAGAGGATTTGGAGGCTGGATTAACCCTATTATAAACATAGCAGTTTCTCTGAAACTGCTTTAGAGGCTGGATTAACCCATTTATAAACATAGCAGTTTCTCTGAAACTGGTATGTTTATAAAAAAAAGGGTTAATCCTAGAGGGACCTGGCACCCAGACCACTTCATTAAGCTGAAGTGGTCTGGGTGCCTAGAGTGGTCCTTTAAGGCTAGGCTAGTATAGGTGCATTGGAAAAATTATTTTATTTTGGCCTAAATTTGCAATCCTCTTATTAATTTTCCACAATTTCAAGTATAATTAATAAATCCCTGTATCTGTGCATTTATAAGCATGTATAGTATGCGAATACTGTTTTCTTTTGAGTATGTAGAATCAGTGTGTGTGTGTATACATGTACTGGATAATTGTTTCATTTAGGCTACAATAGCAAAGCTGTGACTCTGTGACTTGCAATGTGTGTGCTTAGAGAACAGGGCCAGGTTGGGAACTAAAAGCAGCCCTGGAAAAAATTCTATACCAGCCCAATAATGCGTTGTGCCAGCATAATGTGCTGATATAGAGGTGGAAAAGATAACATAAAATTGAAACTATTACTGCAATGAAAGAAAGCACTCATAGGGCTTCAAAATAAACAACAGATCGGCTTTATTTTAAGCAGACCTGCATTTGCATATAATCAATGTTTCAGTCTAACTACCATGACATATTAAGGAAAGTTTGGTAATGGGACTGAAATGGTGAATGTTTGCTGTTACACAGTTGTTATCTTGTTTATTTTGAAGTCCTATGAGTGCGCTCTTCACTTTGAATATGTTATTGTGCTGGAGTGTGCACCCAGCAACAAGACTAGGCAAATACGTGCCCATTACATATATGTTATATTTTAATGACATTTCTGTGGGTATTATGCATATATAAATGTATATCAATATATGTGTAAGTATTATAGGTATAATTATATTTATCATTAATACATACATTAATATGCATGCACATATATATATATATATATATATATATATATATATATTTATGTGTGTATTACTGTCAGTATCACATCAATTACGTCTATCTGTACATTGCAGTGGCGTACACACAATCCATGGGGCCCCGGTGCAAAACTGAACCGTGGGCCCCCCCACCACCCTCTCTCCCCTGATCCGTACCCATACCCACCGACACATACATACAGACATACACACACAAACATACACACACATACACCCCCCGACAGACACATACATACAGACACACACATATATACACAGACACATACATACACATACATACAGAGACACAGATAAACACACATACACACACATACAGAGACACAAACACACACACACACACACATACATACAGAGAGACACACACATAAATACAGACACACACACACATACATACATACAGAGAGACACACACATACATACAGACACACACACACATGCATACAGAGACACAGACACACACACACACACACATAGATACAGAGACACAGACACACACACACATACAGAGACACAGACACACACACATACAGAGACACATACACACACACATACAGAGACACAGACACACACATACAGAGAGACACAGACACACATACAGAGACACAGACACATACAGAGACATACATATACAAAATGTTTCCTACCTTGTGACTTTCCCTGGGGGCTCAGTCTGATGGGAGTCATAGTTCCCACTCTGACTCCCTCCTCCTCCTTCCTCCCGCGCGGGTCCTGATAGCTGGGAGGAGTGACCGGGGAATCACTTCCTCCCAGCTCTGTGATGTCATCACAGGGGGCCCGGTCGAGCTGTTAAAGCGCCCAGCGCTGACCGGGCTCCCTGATAATCCATATCCATCAGGTGGCCCTGACAGCATGGGCCACCCGATGGACCCCTCCATATGCGGCCCCGGCGGTTTGCTGCACGGGTCGGGGCCACAAAACGTGGTAGAACTTCTTCAGGGGTGGTCACGGGGGTCCGCAGGGTGGCCGGGCCCCCTGGAGTGACGGGCCTGGTCGCAGCTGCAACCCCTGCAACTGCGGTGTGTACGCCGCTGGTACATTGCGTTGCTCACCTGTCAATTAGCTCTTTAGCATAGACCCTTGTGCTGAAGAACTGAGTTACAGGGAGAGCAGAAGACACAAGCGAAAATGCATCCCACTTCAAACACACACACACAAATGCATTTTCTCTTGTGTTTTTGCATCTTCTCTTGATTTTAGTAATCACTACTTTATGATGTGGCTGGGCTGGGAATTGTGGAAACCGAGAGGGAGCATGACAGTCAGGTCTGCTCCCTGTGATTTCTGACAGCTGCATGGCTGTCATGTATTAGTGAGTGTGCCGCCAGACCAACATGGCTTGATTTACATTTATGAATGTTCTACCAGATGGAACAAAACGCGTTGGACCAGTGCCTTTTTTTACAAATAAATATACTTGATTTTTATACTTTGATTCCTGCTCTTTGTCGGTGTCCGGGTTCCTGAGTCCTGTGGATCCACACTCTACCCCCCTAATGGATTAGGGGTGGCACCCTGAAAGCGCATTGAAAGTCTCCACTCTGTGAGTGCTTCTAATAGCGTGTCTGTTTTGCATGCATATTATGGTTTTCACTATGAATTGTTAATTCTTTTATAGGTTCAGACAGCGGTTTCCCCCTATTTCTTGTACACATTTATTCTACCAGGCATCCATGTGGAAAGGTTGCAAGGGAAGCTGTCATTAAGTTAAGTTAAGTTAAGCTGTCATTAAGTTAAGTTTGTTTTTATATTTCTTATTTTAAACACACACTTTTGTGTTTTGTGTTTTTGGTACTATATTTGATTTACATTTAACCAGAATTGTGAATTCATTGACATTGACTAGTTCTGTAAGTTTGTGTTTGTCTATGCTGTCTGATCTAAGCCTGTTTCCTTTACTAATCTCAGTCTGTCTTCAGAGTGTCTCACTGTCCTTAAATAAACACTATAGCATTAGGAATACAAGCCTGTATTTCTAAGGCAATAGTGTGCCTGTCCCTCCTTTGGCATCATGGCGATGGTAGGACCTAATGGGTTTGCTCGGACCTCACATTTAAACTGTCCCTTAGGAAAGAACTGAATCAGTTTGAAAATGTTAGATGTTTTCATGCAAAGTGTAAGGACATCCAACGTCATTTCCTGCAGTAACACTCCGTTAGGGAGCAGGAATCACCTCTACTAGCTGTCTGGAAGCTATAGAATCATTCAGTCTTTTACTTGAATGCAGCATTGATGTCCCGCTGGGTCAGGCTCCGCCCACACTCCTCCTCCGCCGACATCCGCCGCGCTTGCATTAGTATTTCCCCATAGGAAAGCATTATTCAATTCTTTCCTATGGGGAAAAATCTGACGTTGGAATGTCTCATGCAGAGCGTGAGAACGTCCCGTGCCAGATAACGGACCAAAGGTCTGTGTTAATTCAGGAAGCCCCTCTAGTGGCTGTCTGGTAGATAGGCACTAGAGGTGGGGTTAACCCTCAGAGGTAATTATTGCAGTTTTTAAGAAACTGCAATAATTACAACAGTAGGGTTAAGGGACATGGGACATTGCACCCAGACCACTTCAATGATCTGAAGGGGTCTGGGCGCCTACAGTGTCCCTTTAACCCTGCAATGTAAACATTGCAGATTCTTAGAAACACACACGGGTACTGCGCCCACACCACTTCAATCAGATGAAGTTGTCTGGGTGCCTATAGTGTCCCTTTAACATTAAACTCAGCCATTCAAAGCACCAGTAATACATATTCTATACTGCTTGGCCTAGGTTTGCATGTTAGGGATATATTAACCTTGACAGTTAGCTGTCTGTAAATAATTCTCCTAAACTTTTTTGAGCTGTGTTAACTTATGAGAGTTTAGGATACTTAAGTTAAGAAGCCTGTTATCCAAGGCTGAACATGTGCATAGCAATGCATCAGGATAGCAGTGCATGAGCAGAATATTGGACTCAGAAACACAAGAGAAAAAGACCTAGACAGGAGGACTGTCCTTCTAGGTCTAGAACAGTATGGATTAGTGTAAGCATCTTAAAATTGTAACATCATTGTTCTACCTTACCGAGTAACTTACAATTCAGTATCCCCCATGGCCGGTGCTCTATCCACTGCCTGTTTCCTCCTTTGAATCCCATCCAGAATCTTCTTCCGAGGCCCCAATGGAATGCGAATACTTTTGAGGTCATGATCAGAACAGAGCATGAGGGCTGCCAAGTCTATCTTTTCATCCTGTAATAAGGAAGTAAACTCAGACATCTGCAGTGAAGCCAAAAATGTTTCCAGTGGGCTTGTATCTGGTTCTTCATCATCATCTAACCCCAAATCTTCCTCCTCCCAGGGCACCTCCTGTTCAAGTCTCCCCTCCAAGCTTCCGGCACTTCCAATGCTATCATCCAGGCTTGGAGAACGTTTAAGGCGGCTACGAAGTTTTACGGCTTCACTTTCCACTCCGTGAAGACCATTAGCCTCATCCCTCCCCATCCCAAAAAGTCCGCTGCTTAGATAGTTCCTCCGAAAAACCATTGTACCTAAGCCTGGTCTAGTAAACAGAGAATCATGTCCTGAGTCTGTGCTAACCTCAGAATGAGTGGAATCCCCATGCAATCCAGGGTCACTAATAGCCCGAGATAAGGAATCTTCTTCATGAAGAAACATGTCACGTAGGTGTTGTCGACCTCGCTCACGTGGGCTTGCATAGGTACCTTGTTTGACAAACATGACATCATTGCCCAGCTGAAGACCTGATAGCGAACGCACACTCTTTCTTCCATCCTCATATATTTTGAATGTTCCATCCATCTGTTTCCTCTTTTCCAGCTTCTTTTGCATCTTAGTTTTGCCTTTGGTGGTGCCTGCAGCATGAGAGTATGGCATGGTGGCAAGTAGAGTGGCACTTGGAAAACGCTGGCTAACTGAGCTGTTGTAATAACAAAAGAACATAAGAAAAAATTACCAACATTTTATAATAAATCTTAGATAAAAGCCAAAAAAAAAAACTTTAATTCAACAGCCATACATCCATTCTTTCTAGAACTTCAATTTGACCCATTGTACAGCGCTACGGAATCTGATGGCGCTATATAAATAATAATAATTGCAAGACTCAAGATTCAAATTCAATTAAAAAAGCACCCTTTAAGCCTAAAGAAAAACTTGCATGCATCACTATCAAGCAAACATTCTTCTATACAGGCAGACGTGCACATAGGCACAGACACACCCACGCAAAGACACACAAGATCATGTAAATATGTAATGCAATAGACTAACAAGTACAGTTACAGCCATTAATAAACAGGGATACATATTCAGACAAAAGGAATCATGTAGACAGACATACAGAAACATACATAGCAGGATACGTATGCACCAATGGAGGTGTGCACGATAATAAACACATATATAAACTAAGACATGCAGACACACACATGCACAGACAGATGTATTCATGCACAGAAATATACACACAAACCGATGTCTACATGTGTAGACATACATATAGACAAGTATATATATATATATATATATATATATATATATATAAACAAACATGGATGGAAACAAAGACATACTCATGTAAAGAGACAATATACATATATTAAACACATCCTCCCCATTTTTGTATAAAGAACTATTTCAGGAGTGTGCTATTTACAGTAAAAAATAAAGAAAAAAATAGATGTGATTCCTTCAATAATTCTAACTATTGTACTTTAAAAAAAATTATACTTTAATAGATATAAAAAAAACAATGATCAGCTATAAATTCTGACGATCATGTCCCCACCGAAAGCACTTTTGACGGTTGACAGGGGTCATCATGGACACTGTGAGTGATATGAGGCTATGCAATCCCATACACAGCAAACTGCGATGTACTGTGTGTTTTGATAACTTCCTATCATGGTCAGCATTATCTTTTTCAGCAATTTGGGCTACAACTTGAATCTTCTCTGTGGGTTAGCCGTTGCTTCCCACACGCATCAATGAGCCTTAGGCATCAATGACCCTGATGCCGGTTCACTGGTTGTCCTTCCTACTTTTGGTAGGAACTAACTACTGCATACTTGGAACACCCCACAAGACTTGCCATTGTTGAGATGCTCTAACCCAGTCTCAGAGCCAACACTATTTGGCCCTTGTCAAAGTCCCTTAGATCTTTTTGCTTGTCCATGATAAGCCTTTTGTTAATTTGTCTTTCAGATCCAGTTTTAGAAACATATAGAAACATAGAATGTGACGGCAGGTAAGAACCATTCGCCCAATCTAGTCTGCCCAATATTTCAAAATACTTTTAATTAGTTCCTGGCCTTATCTTAAGTCTAGGATAGCCTTAAGCCTATCCCACGCATGCTTAAACTCCCTCACTGTGTTAACCTCTACCACTTCAGCTGGAAGGCTATTCCATGCATCCACTACCCTCTCAGTTTTGGATGCTGCATCAAGACATGAGCCGTTGGAAAGAGTCAGTATTTCCTTACGGTAGCAAGTCGGAGCAGTACTTACATCCAACACATTATCTTACAACCAGCATAGTTTCATGTTTTCAACATTCCTCACTGGGTTACGGTATAATTTTTGTCCAAATTTACCAATTAATGACATCGTTAAACTCTAATGCTTATCTTGCAACCTTGTAAGTTATTGGCGGTAGGTAACAGTTGCTGAATCAGGTACAAGTCAGGCCTTATAATAGGCTTTGTTAATTATTTTGAGATTAGGTGGTGTTAATATTTTCGCCTCTTACCCTTTCATCGGTATTGTCACAAGACAACCGACTAGCTCAAACCTTATTGTATGCTTTGTGGGAGTTTTTTTTGCAAGCCTATACCTACCCCCTTTCCAGCTACCTCCTGACGTTCTACCGATGTTTGGAACCCCACCCACCTTTTTCAGGCCTACCTGTTCGTCAGTTTCAGCATACCACAGTTGACTTGCTGTTGCAAAACTTATTGTATGCCTTTGGCTTTTGTCTCTCTCTCTCTCTCTCTCTCTCTCTCTCTCTCTCTCTCTCTATCTATCTATCTATCTATCTATCTATCTATCTATCTATCGCTCAGAATTTCCACAGGCCTCTACCTAGCCATTGGTTAGTGTGACGGTAGTCACCGTCACTGTGGATGGAAGACAGACACTATGTGTGGGTCCCCAGATTCTTTTTGTGTTTTGGTCACCCTGTGCCCATTATTGGTGCGGAGTATGTTGAATGTATTGCTTGTCTGTGCCTCTCCCCCTCCCCCTTTTTCCTGTCCTATTGTTTCCCCAGCAGGGTGTTGTCCCAGGGACACTGCCAGACCAGTTAAAACTAGCTGCCTTGTCCTTTCTTAATCTCCCATCAGTCCTTGCTATTGTCTGACCCCACACTTCCTTGTACTATAGTGCTATATGTACCCTATTGTAAGTAAAAGAGGCTGTTGAGGGCTTAGATGTGTGTGATATGTCTATTAAAGTTAGTTGCTGTTTTAATCTTCACCAAGTGTCATCTGGTATTTGAGGAAATCTGCTGATGGAAAGTGTGTCCAGGGCTATAAACACAGAAGCCTAGTCCAGGGTGGAAAAGTCCCTCAGTGATCCCAGTCAAGCCTCGGCGACTGGTTCTGAAGTGCTCCAGGGTCCCTGATAGCTACAAGGAACCAGACTTGGCAGAGGTACGCGGTCAGAGTACTGGAGCTCTGTTAATTTGGTGGCAAGCGGTGGGATGGTTTCCTAGCAAGTGGCGAAATATCCTTGGGACACCAGAGTATCTTATGGCATCCTGGCAAGAGGGATAGCGCTAGCATTCGTTCAGCATCCCTGTTTGGTAAAGGACTCGGGAGGATGCAGTGAGCTAGCCCCCGGGCAGCGTCCTCATACAAGGAGGAGTTCCAGTTGAGACTGTAGGATGCATTGGCCCAGTATGATGGCACTGTCTCGGGAGATGTTAACTAATGTAAACTAATGAATGTTTACATGGTGTGTTCAATAAAAACATGGCAACATTTCATTCTTTGTGTGTTATTAGTTTAAGCAGACTGTGATTGTCTATTGTCGTGACTTAGATGATGATCAGATCACATTTTATGACCAATGTATGCAGAAATCCATATCATTCCAAAGGGTTCACATACTTTTTCTTGCAACTGTATATATATAAATAAATATTAATTTATTTGCAGTAAAGTAATAGACACTGTTTCGAACCTTTTTAATGAGCCCAATTTTGATTTGAATTAAGACCACCTTAGGTCAATATTCACAATTTTGTGCATTCAGTGTTTGGTCCGGCTGATCCCATGTCTCCCTGTTCCTTCCTTCCTTTCTCCGAACCATGTGCCAATTGTCCATTTTGGCTTTTCCATGATTTAGTCATGTGACGATTCAGAGTTATAGAATTTGCACGGCCTTCCGACCTTCCAAATTTCTGACAAATTCCAAATCAAACTAAATTAAATGCACAAATCTAATGACCATCTTTTGAAACAGTAATGCATGTATGTGTGTTATAATGTCTGATTCATAACTGGGCTACACTTACGAGATGCAGAATGATATCTCCTGCAGCTTTTATCCCTCTCTTTTTGTACAACTTCTCCCACATATATTGTTACTTAATAACTACATCCATTTGTCATGTCATTATTGTTGTAAACTGCTCACTATGAGTATGTACAGTCGCGCCTCATATTTAACATGTTTAAATTACCTTACTGAGCTAATAAATCATTAAAATAAATCAGGTGGTGTGTGCCTACAAACATAACAACATAAATATGAGAATTGTCCTCATTTCTGTGTGATACTTCTTTTTGCTGAGTGACTTAAAGAAACGTGTTGTCAGGGTATATTTTAAGCATTCCTTCATTATGTAGATAGCATTTTATTATAATATAGGGTCAATTGATAATCGATTAAGGGTGTATTTCAGGCTCACAAGATTATTTTTCATAAAGTAAAATACCAAATCAGCGGATCTGAGCAAAGATCCACTGCATGGGTGAGTTCAGTATTTATTTATACTTTTTTTTTTATTAATTGGAGGTGGAGTTTTAATTTGTCTTCTGGTACGCCTGGTACTGTGGTTATATTTTGTTACATATATTTTTCATGCTAGTGAGCACCTATATAATATTAAAGTGATACTTTAAGCACCAAAAGAACTGTAGCTTAAGGGAACACTATAGGGTCAAGAACACAAACATGTGTTCCTGACCCTATAGTGTTAAAACCACCACTTAGGTGGCTTGCCCCCCTTTCACCTCCTTAGAAGAGGTTAAAACATACCTTAATTCCAGCACCGAACAGCCCTGCCCCTAATCCACCTCATTGGTGACATCATCATGATTTATGATTTTTAGCCAAACCAATGCTTTCCCTATGGGAAAGCATTGGATTGGCAGAAATTGGCAAGGAGGCGGGAATGGCGGCAGGGTCAACAAAGCATTAAAATTCCTCAAAAGAATGATTATACTCACCAGAACAACCACATTAAGCTGTTGTTGTTTTGGTGACTATGGCATGCCAGTTTTAGTGTATAGGTCATGCATGTGGAGTTTATGCAGTCTTAGCCACGCTACCCCTGGCTGTGACTCACAAAGCTAATATGAAAATATGGTTTTCATGTTCAGTCAGTACAGTGTGTTTACTTTAGAAGTTTTTATCTCCTGCTCTGTGAATTAAACTTGAATTACATAGGAGGCTTCTGCAGGATTTAGCAGGCTATCAACAGAGTAGGAAATTCAAAATTAAACATACTCTGCAATACCCTTATACATGAGATCTCTCTTTACAGGAAGTGTGTATGGAGTCTGAGTCTTAGCCACGGGAGGTGTGGCTAGGGCTGCATAAACAAAGTGAATTAACTCCTAAATGGCAGAGAATTGGGTAGTGAGAGTGCAGCGGCATTTTTTATATATCGAAACCACTATCAAGCTATCATTTTTGGTGCTTATATTGTTCCTTTTAACCTTCACGTAGGTAAGATATGAATGTAATATGTGCTTGTTAAATCATTTGCTTTTTTCTTGTCAAAGATGGCTACCACATGAGCTTCTTGTACATTTTATTTTTACATGCTTTTATTGAAATGTACAAGAACTAACAGTCATTAGACAGTTTAACAGGCACACTTTATAATGAAGCCTACATCTTTGGATTCTGAAGATAAATGTGTTGACCCGCAATTGAATTATTTATATGCTTGGATCTAGAACCCTATAGTTCGTTACCTCGAGAAGCTGGAGAAGCTCATGGTGTCAGAATGATCAGATATCTCCTTCCTGTACCGCCTCTCCATGCGTTCGTGATGTTTGCGTTGCAACTTTGCACAGTCACGAATCCTTCTCTCTGCCTCGCGAAATGCTCGTTCTTTCAACTTACTAACCAGTTTAGGGTTCAGGCTGCTCTGCTTGGCTGCGATAGAATCCAGGTAACGCACACACTCCATGTGACCCTTGGTCGCTGCCATATCCAGTGGCGTGTGATAGTCATTATCCAGACACCAAATGTTGGCTCCAAAGGACACCAGAAACGATAGGCAGTTCAAGTGCCCATTGGCAGCAGACAGATGTAGAGGTGTGTTCCCCCAAATGTCACATTTATCCGGATCGCCTCTACAATGGAAGGACAAATTATGGGTCAGATACACAGTTATAACATAGTCACATATAGGAAGACAAAGTATGTAACCAGATCAGGGCTATTTTTAGTGCAAGCAAAGAGGACTGTAATTTCATATATTTATAATTATACAACTACTAAAACAATAATAATACATAAATGGAAACTGCAACTTAGTTTTTTTCTTTTATTCACTTTATAATTTAACTGAATTTTGTGTGCATTATCTCCATAACTTTATTTAAACCTTTTTGGTCAATTCAAGCTTTGAGTGACACTCTGAATCTCTCCTCTGTCACAAATTCAAAAATGTTTTTCATCTAGCGTCAAGAAGCACTCAGAAGAAGCAAGTAATGAAGACTAAAAAGAGGAGGAAGGACAGAACGAACGAACAAATGAACGAATGCGTACACTGACATTGGAAAGTTACAATGAAATTATAATAGCAAAATAATAAAAAAAAATGATGTTACCTAAAAATACCTGTCTTTCCAAAATTATTCCACCTTTTTATTCACCATAATATGCATTTTTATTTACCAAAAAGTTAACTTAACCCCTTAAAAACGGAGGTAATTTTACAAGTTTGGATGCTCAAACAAAACCTAGAATTTGAGCTATATGTCTGTTAAACCATAATCCACCACTTTTATATTAAGTGCAGCTACACCTATTATGTAGCATTTTTTTTCAGGAGAAATAGGGCTTTCAATTTAAATCAAATATTTATATATGAAACATAATTTAATATGAATAAAGTCTAAAAAAAGTGTGAGGAATTAGGAAATGACATTTTAACTGTGAATGCCATAATACTGCTAGCTGTTACTACAATAAAATACACATATTTGTATGTTATCGTGTCCCAACAATGATGATAATGACACGTCCTAACAGCGCAAATAGGTTAAAGGATAACTACCATTAAATTTTCACTTCTCATGTTTTAATAGTTTATTACATTTAATGAAATGTAACAATTTTCTTTTAAATGATGTGTATTAATTTGGTTGAGAAAACAAATATCTTACTGAGCAGCCATGTTGAGTCAGATGTTACTGTTATTTGACCAACTAATATTCTACCTTGTTTGTACGTAGTGGGCACTGAATGACAATACGCATTACAACCAAACCCCCCAATAACAAACATCAACTTTGGATGAAAACAGGCCACAGCATTTATTAAACATATAAATACTGTATAACACATCCATCTTTCATTAGAAACGTTATAAAATTAAATAAAACAAACAGATCAATAAAGTAACACATGAATAACACAGTGTCATACAGTATAACCTTAATTAAACTTTAATTAAATGTCCTTGCCAATCTCTAACTGACCAAATACATATGCTCATAACCCCCAAAGTGTTCTCACCTCCCCCTCGTCCACCAATTTCCATTTGACATTTTCGCTCGGTGGACACATGCAAATTGGTAACTTTGCAATTTACCATATACAAGACAGAGGAGGTTGAGACCAGACCCTTATCCACGCTATCACTCTTCCTGTAAAGGATCTCCCCATCTGATTGGCAAGGACACCTACCCCGCTAGTCATGACCCAAGAAACAAGGTACGCTGGCCCGAATCCAAAATGACTCTAAGGTCAGTTATGTAGATACCACCCATTTATAATACAAAGCACTACTACACACACAAACCAACTAATCATAAACATCCATACCACACTCACACGTACCCTTGTCTGATACGCTGCGCTATCTCCCTTGGGCCTAACTTGCCTTCTTCTGAAAATAACACAGATTACACAGAGCAATCACAGCCCCAGGTAAGTAATTAAATATTATTAACATAGGGTTTGTTTCAGACTTCTGAGCATTTATGAGCCGTGTGGGTTTTTATAGCCATTACGTAAATTATCTCTTTGTCTTGCTGCATTAAAGATACAAGTGTATACTAGTATGTAACAAATTGAGATTGCAGAATAGGGAATGTAATCAAGTAATTCTTAGAAATGTGCCTGTTGTAACTGATAGTGTTTGAAGCAAGTGCTCCGGGGGTCACAGTATCGGTTAGAGAGAGATGGGTGAGTGTGTAAAGGTCACAGCCTAGGGAACAGTTCTTTGCATGTGTGTGTGTGAATTAGTCAAACAGTTCTCTCATGTGTTCAGTTACAATTCTCCGTCTTACTAACCCATCAACATGAATTATGCATATACATGAAACAGCTATACTGCATGTTACTTAAGTGATTGAGATGTACACAAAGTAAGTAGAAAGATCTTGCAGAAAACTATACAAACAAACTGTAAACAAATTTGCGTAACATATCTTACACATCTGTAATGCTTAATTGTTTTATAAATATATATAATAATTGTGTTGTCTATTTTTGCATATTTTCATATGGTATTCCCAAAAATATTTTATGTGTTGTCTTTGCTTCGAATTCATCAATCCTTACAGTGACGTATTACCTCAAGTTTACCTCTCTCCTATTGTTTCCACTTCTCTTCCTATTTTAGAATCTGTTCTTCTTTTCTTCATTACTGATCTATTTTTCTTTAAAACATAAGGGACTACTTTGTCTTACGTATTTTCCTTGTGCTTTAGAATCGTGAAAGAGGGTGAAGTTTAAGGCAAGCTACACTTTCTTTCTCAAGCTAACTTTAAAAAAAAAAACACATGGGATTAAAAGGATAATTTTAAGTACCAAACCAATATAGTTTTCTTGGACAGGATTTGGTACAATAGCCCCCCTATTCCTATCTCCCTTCATGCTCAAATTGTTGCAACTATTGTTGTGTCCAAAAGCCTTTCATGTGTCATCATATGGAAAACAAAGCTCAACCCTGACGCATTCCATTTATTTTGTAGCATGTAGTATGCAGAAGACTTAAAGGAGCACGGTGATGTTGGAAACACAAATATGATGTTCGGGACCATGATGAAGGTACATTATGAGCACCTAAGCACACATTGAGCTGAGCTCTTTTTATTTTATTTTCACTCACTATGGGTGGCATACTTGTCACTGTATAGTAGTAATATCGAGCTCTGGTTAATCTAGGCATCTGGCTTAGTGCCACGTGCTGACGTATCTTCTTGGAGCTATTACACCTAGATTCCCTGACTCCAAGTTCAATTGTTTAGAATTTATTTTGATTCCTTTGTGGGGACTTTGTGTAGATTATATCTACTATAGCTCTAGCAGTATTCTGTAAGCAGTGAGGATGGTTGGCTAATAATATTTTTTTCTATCTCCAGTTTGGTGGTAAAATAGGCATATACTTTTTTTTTTTTTTTAGACGATGAGGCACGTGTACCTCGATATAAGTGTTGGGAACATGTTTTGAGTTCACATTACATACATTGATCAGCCGTAACATAAAAATCACCGATAGGTGAAGTTAATAACATTGATTATATGTTATTTATTTTCATGTGTTAAAAGCAAGTAAAATTGGCAAGCAAAAAGATCTGAGTGACTTTGGATCTTTCACTGCTTTCCCAGAATGCAGTGATTAGTACCTGCCAAAAGTGGTGCAAGGAATGGTAAGCAGTGAACCAGCATCGGGTTCATGTGCGCCCAAGGCTCAATGCTGGCCATGCTAGAAAGGTGTCAGAACACACACAGTGCATTGCAGTGTGCTTCATATGGGGCTGTGTAGCAGCAGATTGGTCAGAGTCTCCATGATGACCCCTATCCACTGCCAACAGTGCCTTCAGTGGTGACATGAGCATCACAACTGGACCATGGAGCAAATAGACGAAGGTTGTCTAGTCTGATAAATAACAGTTTCTTTTAGATCAAGTGAGTTACTGTGTGCATGTGTGTCATTTATCTGGGAAGAGATGGCAGCAGAATGCATTATGGGAAGAAGGCAGGCCGGCGGAGGCAGTGTTATGCTCTGGGCAATGTTCTGCTGGGAAAACTTGGGTCCTGGCATTCATGTGGATGTTACTTTGACACGTATCACTTACCTAGAAATTGTTTTAGCACACGTACAACCCTTGATGGCAATGGTGCTTCCTGATGCCCGTGACCTTTTTTAGCAAGATAATGCACCCTGCCACTCTGCAAAAATTCTTCAGGAGTGGTTTTAGTAACATGACAAAGAGTTAAAGGTGTTGCCTTAGCCTTCAGATTCCCCAGATCTCAATCTGTTTAAGCATCTGTGGAATGTGCTGGAACAACAAATCCGATCCATGGAAGCCCCACCACACAACTTGCAGGACTTAAAGGATCTGCTGCTAATGTATTGGTGCCAGATTCCACAGGACACATTCAGAGGTCTTGTGGAGTCCATGCCTTGACCCATCGGAGCTGTTTCGGCAGCACGAGGGGGGCCTACACGATATTAGACAGGTGGTTTTAATGTTGTGGCTGATTAGTGTATAGTTATTGTAACGGAGCTCCTAGTACTCCGACCGAGTACCTCTGTTGATGGATGCTCCTAGTGCTTCCCGAGGACTCCAAGCACTCCACTTGACACCATCAGCACTGCAGACCGAACCTCTCTTTCTGCAGAGAGTGAAGCTGGAACAAGCTCTTAAAAGAGCTTAGTGATTATAGCTAGGGGAGTATACAGAGTATAGCAATCCCCCACTGTAGATGCAGTCGTATCTCCCAATCATGAGACGAGGCTCTATGTTGAGGGTCAAACAGGAACACAGAGCTGTGATTTTATTGTTCTTATATACACATTTTTACACAATAGTACCACCCACATGGTTTTGTGGAACAGCCAATAAAACACGTAATGTACAGTAAAACACTCCCATTCATTCCCACAAAATCCTCCCCTCTGCCTGATATAATTACTGAACACAATGGGTTAATGTAATTATCACAGGCAGGAAAATGTACAGTTTTACACAATATTCATAACTTTAAAAGTATGCATCACATTCACTTACATTTTCAGAATCAGCATACTCCAAATACAAACATACTCAAAAATCAGGCAATTACTTCCATGGGTTTAAAAGTTAGGTCGAAGTCCTTTGTGACTGACTGCAAGCATGGCTTTCCAGCCCAAACCAGTTCCACAGAGTTAGGCTGTGCAGCCGGTCTATCTTCTCCTCTATCCTGGAGATAATTGGCTTAACTGGGTGTGGCAAGCCAACTCTCTTCAGGTACAGAAAATATCTCTATTCACAACAACAGCAAAAATACACAGAAATTCATAATTCCTATCATACTGAATAGAACCCCCACATTCAACCAATCCCCAGATAGCTTGGATCTGAGCGCTCTATATATCCGAACAGCGCTCAGGTCCCATGAACAGAATAAAATCGCCATGGGGTTAAAGTTTAGCATGGGCTGATGAGAGGTTGAGGAGGGACAAAGCAGACAGTTTCATTTAGAGGGCAAGAACAGTCTTTTAAAACACCAATAGGTCCAAATAGTGTTTTTAACTGGCAAAGTCTCCCAGGGGCCATAGTCACATGGCAAGAGGCCGGCAATTAGTCCTCTACAGGCACAAGTGGTGAAGTTAGTTTCGCCACAGTTATATAGTTACATAGTAATTTAGGTTGAAAAAAGGCTAAAGCCCATCAAGCTACACTGTGCCTGTATCCACATTTTTTTGGAGAGAGATCTATAATACATTCCATACTGTCCTGCCCTGTTCTTCTGCTCCTTCTAACTTTTACATTTTGTAAGGGTATCTACTATCTATAACAATATAGAAAATGTCAGAGGTGCTATAAGTGTTTTGCCTCCGGATCAATCTGCATAGGTACTTACAGGCAAATATAGTTCTATGTACTTAACATTTCTGTACCCCAGTTTATCCTTTCACCTCTATAAGTAGGTCAAGCTATACTTACATTTACTCATAGGTTTATGGGTTTTTTTTCACACTTGTTTTTTTCTGGAGTCAGTTCTTTTCCCACAGTGTGAGAATTTGCTGCTTTCGATGCCTGTGCACCATCTGTGTCCTCATGTATGTCTGTTAGGGTAATACCCTTTTATGGGACATAGGGTCAGTGATCTCCTTGGTTCCCCCTTTCCCCTCTTAGGGAAAAGTGGACCTTCTTTTTCACTATTAAAGGCTTTGATTTAATACTGTTGTATAAGCTTTTCAAATGATTTAACATTTTTAAATAAACTTTTAGAATAATTTAATATTATGAAAAAATAAAGAATTTTCATATTTAGATGCCTGTGCACCATCTGTGCCCTCATGTATGTCTGTTAGGGTAATACCCTTTTATGGGACATAGGGTCAGTGATCTCCTGGGTACCCCCTTTCCCCTCGTAGGCAAAAGTGGACCTTCGCTTTCACTATTAAAGGCTTTGATTTAATACTGTTGTATAAGCTTTTCAAATGATTTAACATTTTTAAATAAACTTTTAGAATAATATAATATAATGAAAAAAATAAACATTTTTAATATTTAGATTTTTTTTAATGAAATAATTATATATTTTAATATATATGACATATTTTTTATATTTGAATACATTGGATAAATCCTTTTAGAAGTTTATCCAAAAATATTAAATAATTTGAAAAGCTTATCCAACAATTTTAAATTGAAGCCTACATTAGTTCGAGTACTAGAGATGGCTGTAAAATTCCAGGTACTTTTTTCGTTTGACATTTACGGAAAATAATGTACATTTGTGGTTTGTTATAGTATTATTGGACTGTTTTGAATTTTTCATTACATCCATCATGCCCCTATCCTCTCCACATAGTTATGACCACAAAGTGGAATGTAAAGCTAAGCGGAGAGTAAAGGGCTGCTGCTGCTTGACTACGCTACACACAGGGCAGCTGGGACCTTTAATCCTTGTGACTGGGGTGTCTTCTGAAGTTCTCATGGCTTATTGCTGCTGAACCATGGGCAGACCACCCCAAGGTCCTCAATATCTGACTGATCTGACACTATCTGCCTAGTATTAGTACTGAGTATTTAATCTGCCCCTGACTCTAAATATAATATAATTATAGTGGTGGTGTAGATATGGGCTGCATTTTAAAAGTATGTTTTGCTATTGTGTAAAGCTATTTGAATGCAAAATATTTTTCGGTGTGGATTTTCTCAATTCAGTTGAAGGTTGGGATCAGATATCTTGATACATGTGACTTTCTTATGGATCCTTCATAAGACACAGAAGAAACTCATACAGGTATATATTTAAAAGCTACAAAAAGCTGGAGTTGTTCTGGTGACTATAGTATCCCTTTACCTACAGTTTAGATTTTTATTTTGGACAGTATTATAGCAACCTTTGTTTTACCGGTATTATTGCTTAAGTAATGTGCCACCCCCTACAAATAAAACTTATTTGGGTGAGGGAATGAAAGGTAGATAGAGTTTAGTTTTGGGATGGCTACGGGCTTTTTGTTAGAGGAAGATGGTGAAATTTATGATACCTCAGTCACGGATTTGCTATCTAAATTTTCTGGTTTTGGCTGGGGGGACCGACATCTATCTCCATGAAGTCCAGAGAGACTGTGAAGACAGAACCTCTCAACAGTGGCAGAGTGGGACCCATGGAGATGGCTTGGTTGGCACATCTCTTCAGTGGCAGTGTGTGGCTCCAGAGTTGGGTGGTAGCAACAGTAACAGTATTAATCTCCACCAGAAGAATGAAATCAAAGGAGATTATTGGCATCCTCCCTAATAGCCTAAAGTGAATTTAACTAATGGGGCCTTGTCTGGGGCGCTATTAGACTATCATTACGAAACAGAATTATAACAGAAGCTTCAACCTTCTTTATATGGGAGCCTCTGGCATAGACCTTCCACACCATCTCACAACAACTAAAGGAGAATGCATGGCTTACAGAGATGCTTGGAACCAACCTCTTTCCTTGAGACTGTAGGCTCCTTTGCTGTATAACACAAAAAAACAACAAGAAAGGGCTGCGCCAGATATGTTAACAACACAATGTACAGTACAGTCTTGATTGTCAGGTCCTATTCCACCATCCCTATTTTGTTTAATGGTGTCCCTTTTTTGGGGACACCAGGAAACTGTCCTCCCAAAAAATGTGCTCACACTGCACTCAGGGCACTGAAGCAGTGTTTGCTGCAAGTCCTGCCAACTGTGGGCTGTCATGCTTGATTGGCAGGCAGCCTGGTTTGCATTCACGCTGGGCTGACCTGCCAGTAATTTGGCAATATTTTACATTGTAGGGCTAAAAACTAATGGTCCATTGCACCAAAACAACTTCATTTATATTTAGTGGTCTGGCTGCCATTAGTAGTCCTTTAATAATAATATTATTAGTAACATTGTTAATTCTCTAAAATCTATGTTCCCATGCCACAGTCACAATACTCACGCAGGCTAAGCCAAATTTCCAGAGAAAACCCTTTGTCAAAATTGCAAACAGGAACTCATTAATAGGCCCTAACTTTGCCAAGGAAATAGAGAATTGCATAATGACATGTTCAATAGATAAGTATGGCACTCTACCAACATAAAAGTTGAAAATGATTACAACTGAGCATGAATATTGAATGGAATGGAGTCACAACCAGGCAGGAATTGTGTATAGTATGCTGTAAATGACTGACACAACCTGCTAAAAGCTTAAATTATTAACATATATACATATTAAGCTTTTTTATTTATTTATTTATTTTACAATCGTAGTATCTTCTCATTAAATAGCTGTTGAATTGTTGTTAATGGTTTGAATAGTAACATATCAGCAACAAAACGAGTTACAGATATATCCCAAAGTGGAAAACAGATATATTATCATTTATTATATAGATACATTATGTGTTTGCATCACACTGGGATTCCTTAAAGGACCACTATAGTGCCAGGAAAACAAACTTGTTTTCCTGGCTTTATAGTGTTAATAGGTCCCCCCCTCCCCACCCTCATGGCCCCCTCCTGCTGGGCTGAAGGGGTTTAAACCCCTTCAGCCACTTACCTTTCTCCAGCATTGGGTTCCCTCGATACTGGGGAACTCTCCTCCTCCTGCTGAAGTCAGTGCCGAATGCGCATGCGTGGCAAGAACCGAGCACGCATTCAAACAGTCCATAGGAAAGCATTTCTTTCCTATGGACGTCCAGCGTCTTCTCACTGTGATTTTCACAGTGAGAACCACGGAAGCGCCTCTAGTGGCTGTCTCACTGACAGCTGGATTAACCCTCAGTGAAACATAGCAGTTTTTCTGAAACTGCTATGTTTTCAGCAGCAGGGTTAAAACTAGAGGGACCTGACACCCAGACCACTTCATTGAGCTGAAGTGGTCTGGGGGCCTATAGTGGTCATTTAATTCCCATAAAGAATTATATGTCTAACCCCAGAATGAGTCACAGAAAGTTATTTCAAGTTTATCTGTGCCAGAAGGATGCTGTTAACAAGTAAAAATGGATGAATATTAGACTTGAGGATTCATTTTCAAACAAACTGAGATCTGAATTTTGGGCGATTGGCAATTTATCAGAATTCCGCAAGTTCAAAAAGCCATACGGATGTACCAGGAAACAAATAAGCAAGCAACAGATTAGCTGTTTAGTTTGTTTTGTGATTTGTTCTGAAGTGGTGCTACAAAAAGGGGGAGTGAATGGGGAAGGGCAAATAAGCAGTTTAATTTGCCATGAAGGACAAGCGGTATGCCCAATGATGAGGGCAGTATCTAATATTCAATCAAGAAGTGAAAAAAAATATGATTGATTGATGGAGATAGCCATAAAATGTTGATTTTGTTCACAGATCAATTGAGAAGTGATCAATATATGGTAAAAAAAAAGATGTGCAGTAAAAAAGAAAATCTATCTAATTTCAAGCAGGATTCTTCCAGACAATATATTTCAGCTATTGAATGAGACAGCCCAGTACTAATTGTGTATTTTACCATTGATATACCTGTGTGCGAGTAGGAGCCTGTGTCATTGATTCTAGTGTGAGACTGGTGAGGTGTTTAGGTTACTGCTGTGACAGCTACTTACTCTTGTCAGCCACAACACCTACCTAATATTGTGCAGATCCCCCTCGTGCTGCCAAAACAGCTTGGATTTGTCAAAGAATGGATTCCACAACGAATGAATGAATGTGTCCTGTTATATCTGACCCCAAGTCATTAGCATCAGATCCTTGGATTTGTTGTTCCAGCACATCCCACAGATACTCAATCGGATTGAGATCTGGGGAATTTGGAGGCCAAGTCAGGGAGAAGGGATGAATATTGTAACAGGTTCGGTTCTGGTCCACAAGCTTGAGAACAGTCCCCCTTTGCCCCTATACACATCCACAGACAGTGCAATATCCGTGTGAACAATATTAGATTAACAACTCACCTGTCAGATATTAGCATTATCATCACTTGGCTGTATATAACCTGAAGCACTGTAGGCACCATAACCAGTCAATGAATTCATGTGGTTATTATGCCTGGAGTCCATGTGTGTCAGGTCCTACACCATTGAGAAACTGTTTACTTATCATTTAGTCGAGATGTTCAGTCCCTGGCAGCCTGCCTCCTTGTTTGCAATTCTGAAATGAAAGAGGCAGAGATGTGCTCCACTTCATGTCATACCAGGGGTAGTGGCTGAGAGAATCAGCTGACAATCCTCTTGGGCAATCACTGCCCTAGTGCCCGGTATGAGTTGGTATGGCACAATGCATAAGCATAGCACTGCCTCTGCCATACTGCCATTGAAATCAGGATTTCAGGCTGCCAGAGTCAGCGCTCACAGACTCCAATCACCATAACCACTTCAATATGTGCCTACAATATTCGTTTAGCCTGTAATATATCAAAAAGCCCACAAAAGTGTCAAATTTTGTGGCTAAATTTGTAATATAGGCTTATCAAATTAGACATCAACATATTAACAACTAGACCATTAGTGATACCTGGTTTTAAGTCAATATCATTTAAGACTTTGATTGCAATACCAGCAGTAAAACAGTCTATGAATTTTGGATGTTGGTTGTTTGGAAATGGCCTAATGATTCTGGCCAAAAGTCAGAAAACCACTTAATCTACACAGGCTCTTGAACAACAGAATATGTATGCTGCACACAAAATCTACACAAAGCAACAACAAACTCACATTATCCACAGCATTCACACACTACTGAGAGTTCACAGACTGTCTATACCAGCATTTCCCAGTTAGTGTTCCGTGCCACCCTGGGGTTCTGTGTGAACAAAACTGGGGTTCCACCGCTATTTGCCCATCAGGTGGGGCATGCACTTAGGGCCATCTGATGGGTATTGCTGAACAGGGGCCTAGTCAGGCACCGCGGCTATTTACGAGCACGACTGGGCCCCTGTAATATCGGATATAGAGAGCACTGTGCTGGAGGGAAAGAGCGGAAGTGTGCTGCTACAGACTCCACACACCAGCCTCAGCCAGTAGCACTACAAGGAAGCCACCCTCCCGCAGACAAAAGGTATGCTAACAGAAGGGTGACTGCAAATTTAAAAAGCATGACCTTTTTGTATCTGAGTGTGCGTGTATGTGCCAGGTTGTTGTATCTGTGTGTGTGTGTGTGTGTGTGTGTGTGTATGTGTCAATGTATGTGTCTGCGTGTGTGTGTATGTGCCAATGTGTATCTGTGTTAGTATGTGTATCTCTGTGTGCATCTGTATCTCGAGGTGTGTGTATGTGTCACTGTGTGTATCTGAGTGTGCGTGTATGTGCCGTGTGTATATCTCAGCGTGTATGCCAGTGTGTGTATCTGTGTGACACTGAGTTTGTATGTGCCAGTGTGTGCATATTTGTGTGTATGTACCAGTGTGTGTATCTGGGTTTGTATGTGCCAGTCTGTGAATATGTGTGTCAGTGTGTGTATGTGCCAGTGTGTGCATCAATGTGTGTCTGTGTATCAGTGTGTGTATGTGCCAGTGTGTGTATCTGTGTGTCAATGTGTGCATATGTGCCAGTGTGTGCATCTGTGTGTCTGTGTATGCATGTGTTAGTGTATTTATATATCTGTATCTGTGTTAATGTATATGTTTATCTGTGTAAGCATGTATGTATGTGGTACTGTAGGTGCATACATCACAGTAATGAAACACCAACACAACATGTAAACAAATCCCTGCATACACAAACATTACATACAAAAACACCCCTGTATTCAAACTCCAAAATTATATACAAACACACCCAAATGTACATTCGCATTTAAAAGCTGACACTACATCCAAACACACCCTTGCACGCAAATGCAAACATTACATACAAACACACCCCAATATTAAAACACTAAAATTATATACAAACACCAACTTTTCACATAAAAGTGCTCCTGCTCCTAAGTACTACAATCGGTTTACTATCATTAGAAATTAGTTATACTAAAAAACTAAATGTACCAAAAAAGAAAACATTACACTCTGCTAATTAAAAGGTTTGTGCTACAGCGCAAACATTTTTTGGGGGGGTTCCATTATGTTGGTAGACTATGTCAAAGGGTTTCACTGGAAAAATTAATTGGGTACCCTTGGTCTAAACCATACACAAAATACTAACAATTCACACACTATCCCTATCATTCACAAGCATGCAGCTATTACACATTACATACAACATCGGCAATCTATACACCACATGCACATACTTCAATACAGACATCTTCAGATACAGATTTCAATATTATTATTTATAAAGAAAAAAATGTTTGTTTCTTTTAACTCTGCGCATATGCATATATGTATTCACACACTGTAGACATGCATTCAAACAATAAGTACATATAATTCATTAAATGTATCGAACTGCTTTTGTGTGTTTAAAAAATATAAGTATAAAGTGTAAAGTGTTTAGTTAGTATTTTGATATTACATAATTGGGCAATAAATTAGTATTGTCATAGTAAATACATAACTTGAAAATATGATCACAAATCTTGGAAATGCAATCTCATGTCTGTATAAATTTGTTGGCACAAATTGAACCTACCCTGTTTCTGTACAATCTGGGCACAATGATGCCAGTATAAAATTCAGATTGGCACACCTCAAACCATGCAAAGGTCTATGTGAAGCTAATTTGATATGTTGCACAGACATATGTGAAGCTAAGTGCAAGTCAGTAGTCGGGAAGCTAAGAATTCTCACAAAACAATGCATGTTTATGTTACATTATTTTATTGATAGGGCTTTGGTAGTGGCAATTATTAGTGCTCCATAATAGTGTGGAGCCCCGTATGCTCCCCATACATATGATTACTACAAATGCTAGTTTGTGAGTCAAACTACTGAAATATGAATCTAGCAGTATAACAAAAGCTATTATCAGACTACTGTGAGTGGGAATAAAGTCAACGGCACTAAGCAAATAGTGTTTAAGCGCTAAGCATATTAAAATTATTAAAACAATCCTTCTTCTGTAGCTTTTACAAGAAAAATTCCATTATAACTCAATCGCCATAATAAACAGTATCATATGAAAGGCATTTATCATGAAGAAGATGCTGCGGCCCTGGGGAGAGAAGGGTTCTGCTCAAGGCTAACACTTTCGGGGAGGGGGCCATTAATAAGATTTTTTATTCCTTCTCTTCCAGTGATTTCAAGTGGTCATAGTGGTAAGAATCTATACGTGCAGCATTTCTATGTGAAACACTGCACATACAGAGAAATCTGGACTTTTGTGCTGTTTTTTATTTTATTTTTTTACACCCCCTGCACATGTGACAGCCAGGAGTTATGTCTGTCGTCAGACCACACTGCGCATAGGTGACAAACGTAACAAGATTCTGTCTTTCAGCCGCGAAGCTTTGCTCTCCCCTTCATCACTTCATGTGCTCCCTCTGCCTCTTACTATCTTCTTTCATTGCCGGTAACTTTAAAAAAAATTAAATTAATAGATCCCCTCCCACATCTCCGATCCCCACGCCAGCTCAGCGCTATCACATATGCGCAATCAGTTCAATCAAATTCTTATACAAAAAGAAAAGTCCTGCGCTCACTCCCATCACTCCTGGGCAGCAGCAACGACTACAGTACACATCAGCTAATACATAGTAAAAACCAAAGAAAAAAGTTACCTGCGCTCTCTCCTTAATCCCTATGTCTTGTATGACATGTAATACATTAATTTATGTAGGATCTGTCTAGGGGGGTCTGCCTTGACATTGGCAGGCGGGAATTCCCTCCATTGGAGTAACTAAATGACCTCCATTTGTTTAAATATACATAAGGATTAAGGAGAGAGCGCAGGTAACTTTTTTTTATTTGGTTTCTTCAATCAAATTCTTCTCTATTTACCCAGTGTATTTTAAGTTTCAAATATATGTGTCTTAAAAAGGGTTAGAGCAGAGCTGCCAAAAAGGTAGATCCCCAGATGTTGTAGAACTAAACCTCCTATGATGCTCTTGGTCCTTGCTTGATGTTCTAGTAGTGCTAAGGAACAATGTACAACAAAATGAGAATGCCGTTCACACAGCCAGATCACTTGCCATTAAGGTAAAGAACCCAAAGCAAGGACTGGCTGACCTTTACTGCAACAGGTTTCTACCATAAAGTGACAGAGGCTGCTGTATTCAATACAATAGCTAATTTCCCAATTAAATTAAAGGGACACTATAGTCACCTGAACAACTTTAGCTTAATGAAGCAGTTTTGGTGTATAGAACATGCCCCTGCAGCCTCACTGCTCAATCCTCTGCCATTTAGGAGTTAAATCCCTTTGTTTATGAACCCTAGTCACACCTCCCTGCATGTGACTTGCACAGCCTTCCATAAACACTTCCTGTAAAGAGAGCCCTATTTAGGCTTTCTTTATTGCAAGTTCTGTTTAATTAAGATTTTTTTTTTATCCCCTGCTATGTTAATAGCTTGCTAGACCCTGCAAGAGCCTCCTGTATGTGATTTAAAGTTTGATTTGGAGATTGAGATACAATTATTTAAGGTAAATTACATCTGTTTGAAAGTGAAACCAGTTTTTTTTTCATGCAGGCTCTGTCAATCATAGCTAGGGGAGGTGTGGCTAGGGCTGCATAAACAGAAACAAAGTGATTTAACTCCTAAATGACAGTGAATTGAGCAGTGAAATTGCAGGGGAATGATCTATACACTAAAACTGCTTTATTTAGCTAAAGTAATTTAGGTGACTATAGTGTTCCTTTAACTCAGAACGGTAAATTGAGGTTAAAATAGCTAATCTGGAAAAATACTCAGCTACAGTCCCAGCTTGGCAATTTAAGCCTACATTTTCCTGTTTGGACTTTAAATCAGTGGCGGAACTACCAGGGTCACAATTGGGCGCAACTTTAGGCCGGGCCCTGGAGTTCTGCCTGTCGGGATAGGCCCATCAGCAATGGAAGCAGCAAGCAGGCAGCTTACTTTACATAAAATTTGCTTGGCTGCTGCTGCACTGCAAAGAGTCCTGTGCCGGACCTTACTCCTTTAGCAAGGACCAGCCTTTGTCATTTAGCCAGGAGTGTGTGAGCTGTGCGGCTGCACAGAGCATCATGGCAACAGGGGCACCAGGCGGCTGACCCCCCTCGTAACAGTGGTTACCTTAGGGTGCCATGGCAGGGGGCACAATATCCGAGGATACTGTTGTTCTCAATTGAAAATGCAATGATAGGCAATATATTGAATACAAATTATTCCCTGTTGTTCCAGTGGTGAATCGCACGCTCTGTACCACTAGCTTTTGTCTCTCCCTTACGTTTCTGGAGTTAGCTTCCCTGCTTGCGCTCTGATTCAACACTGAGTGGCGGAAACGCAAAGGAGTGGTTATTATGGAGAGCGTGCTATTCACCATTGGGCCACCAGGGAATACATAGTAGCCAACAGCAGCGGGTGGAACCCCTCTGGGGTAACGCAGGCAGCTGCTGCCATGCAAGTGATGGAAACAGGCTCCTTTGGAGCCAAACACGAGTTCCAGGGGGAGACAGTTGAAGTGCGTATTACAAGACCACAGAAGAGAAAGCTGGACTGAGAATGAGGGTGTGTGAGTGTGTGGCAATGTGCCATAAATGTGTAAATAACATCACATTCCTCCACACACAAATCACACAACTACGGACTTCCCACAATCCCACACATTATAACTCACAGTAATGTGCAGCGTGCATCAATGCATTACAGAACACCACCGCAAAAGCATTGTGAGCATTTTGAGTTTTATTGCTATAGAGCTCTGTGATGCACTCTGCACATTACTGAGGGTTTTATTGCTGTGAAATTCTGTGATATGGTTTAATGTGTAATTTGTTAAAAAAAAAAAATGTAATCTAAAAATCATGTTTGGAAGGGGGGAGGGGTGGAGAGGGGTTCCTTAAAGAGACACTCCAGTGCCAGGAAAACAATCCGTTTTCCTGGCACTGCAGGTCCCCTCTTCCTCCCACCTCCCATCCCCGGTTGCTGAAAGGGTGAAAACCCCTTCAGTCACTTACCAAAGGCAGCAACGTCCCTCGTCGCTGCTTCTTTCTCCGCCGCCGCTCCTCCCCTTCATCACGTCAGCCGGCGGGGAAGACTGATCCCGCCCGCCGGCTGAGGAGACCTAATGCGCATGTGCGGCAATGCCGAGCACGCACATTAGACCTCTTCAAAGGAAAGCATTGAAAATGCTTTTCAATGCTTTCCTATGGGGATTTTAGCGACGCTGGAGGTCCTCACACAGCGTGAGGACGTCCAGCGACGCTATAGCACAGAAAACCTGTGCTATGGACCAGGAAGTGCCCTCTAGTGGCTGTCTAGTAGAGAGCCACTAGGGGAGGATTTAACACTGCAAAGTAATTATTGCAGTTTATGAAAACTGCAATAATTACAGTTGCAGTGTTAAGGGTAGTGGGAGTTGGCACCCAGACCACTCCAATGGGCAGAAGTGGTCTGGGTGCCTGGAGTGTCCCTTTAACAGATTCTTGCACCAGAGCCCTGAGGTTTCCACGCTCCTGCTTCAAATGCCAGTGCTTTGTTTAGTGAATATACCTGACAGATTGCCTTAGTTCTATTGACTTTTCAACATACTGCAACTCCTGCAAGTTAGAATTTATAAACTCTGATAGCAATAATCATTTCCCCTTGAAACTATCTATAAACATAACTCCTCATAAACAAGTCTTAACCACATAAATAAAATACTAAAAATGAACAATTAATAAAGGTAAATTAATGTACAAGGGAACAGAACGTAATACAAGACAAAAATCGTATTATTCTGCCAAAATAAAATCTAGCTCGTGAAGTATCAGCCCTACCACACATAAACCCATTTCTAATTAGTGTGCAAACAACATGTATACCATAGATAAAATAATGTACTTTTTATATAAAGTTGTATTTAATTTATTTTAAAATCATTACCCCCCCGCCCCCCCTCCCCAAATACAGCATACAGTTAGACTAAATAAATAAATAATAATTTTTTTTAAATAAATAGAAATAAAGAGTGATATCTGTGTCCATGGTCGTCACAGAGTGTTACAATGTATCAGTTTATTCCAGCAGACAGAACTCACCCCCGGCTGACGATGACCCTCAGTGCCCCGAGATGTCCATGATAAGCCGCCCACAGTGTGGGGGTCATGCCATCTTCGTCTGGCGAGTTTAACTCCCGTCTGGTCGCCTCCTTCAACAGATCCAAGAATCCATCCCGGGCGGCCCGGTGATACCGCCCGTCCATCCTGCATGTCCGGGAGTAAGGCCTCGCCACCCAGGGAAGCAGCCCCTCACCGTGTCCCCGCCTCTGTCACCTGCTTCCTCCGCTGTTACTATGTAGTCAGATCTCTGGCTCTCCTGGGTTCTGTAAATCCTGTGTTAGACTGTAACTGGATACTTCAGAGTGAAACAACACTCCATCCCAGGGATGGACGTAACGTAAATGGGATTGACTATTGCATTTTGTATTCACTGGCTTTGCTGGAATGGTACAATAGTAGTTTAGTTTCTTCTAACCTCGCTCTCCCATCTTCTCCATCATTTCAGAAGCAAAATAAGACACAGCATTAACAATAGCCCTCCCCCCAAAAAAAAATTGGTTAAAAAAATTCTCTTAGTAAATAATAAAAAATGTTGGATAAATTAATGCCATATAATTCCATCAATAAATACATGGATCAACCCAAAAAATATAAATGCCTCTTTTTTATCTGTCTTGGTAATTAAAAAAAAAAAAAAGTTATAAAAAAAATCCTAAAATTATTTTTTTTCAAATAATATTCATTTTTTTCTTCAACATAACAGAGTAGAATATAATAATGTACAAGGAGAAAGAACAATTAAGCAGGCATTGCATCACCAAGACAAAGACAGCCATTGACCAAAAACAATAAAATTGGGAAACAATCCCAAAAAATTGGTAAATTATTGTGCTGTATACACGTGAGAAAAGATCTATTAGATTGAGTACCAGTCGTGTGCAAATATCTCATAACTATAAAAATCAACCAATTAAATATGAACACTGCAAAATGGGTGAAACTAAACGAGCAATTACTAAATTTAGGTGTAATATATACCTCCCAAAATTTGAAACAGGAATTCTTTAATGTTAAGGGTGTGAGTGTGTGAGGTGGGGCCAGGGCTGTTCTGAGAAACATTAGGTAACATAATACTAATCATTTTTGCATCTAAAGTGTAATTTTGAAAAACAATGTATCTTATTTACACAGACTGATGTCTAAACATATTTATTGCTATATTAGTGCATTATTAAAGGAACACATTAGTGTCAGGAATACAAACACATATTCCTGACACTATGGTTTTAAAATCACTGTTTAGGTGGCCAGCCCCCGTCTCCTGCACACATCACCCTCACACAGCATCCTAACACACACAGCACCCTCACTCACACACACAGCACCCTCACACACACACACTACACAGCTCACTAAGAATGCAGCTTCACAATGAATGTAATATGGATGCTGTCCAGGAGGTGGGAGTGTCTGGGAGGGAGGGTCTGCTGCTGATTAGCTGGAATGTGTCTGCTGACTGTGAGGTACAGGGTCAAAGTTTACCACATATGTTCGCCGTCCGTGGCTAACCGTTCGGGGAACAGTTCGGGACATCACTACACCTCACACATACAGCACACCTCTCACACAGAGCACCCCTCACACACACAGCACCCTCACACACACACAAACACATATCCCTCACACACACAGCACCCTCACACACACATACTGCACCCCCACACGCACTCTATACTCCTCACAAATGCACACTACACCCCTCACACATACACACTACACCCCTCACACATACACACTTCAACCTTCACACACACACTGCACCCTTCACACACACACTGCACACCTCACACATACACACAGCAGCCAAACAAATACTAAATTTCTTACCCAACTCTGGATCATCTGCAGATATACACACACTAGATCTCATTATATACACTCTGAATCCTCTACATACACACACACACACTCTCACTAGACCAATATGTAAACCCCTGAGACAAGTTTCAAGCAAACACAACGCAAGCATGTTATTAAATTTGCTTGTTCTGTGTGTGGGGATATTTATGGGATAATAATAGTAAACAGTTGAGAATTGCCCACTAATTCAATTCTCAGATCCCAAAGAACGTTTATCGTGTTAAGTGAGAAGTATTTCATATAATAATATCACAATGTATAAAAATAGATTTTTATTTATAATGACAAATTAATTAATAATAATATTATGCATGATAATAATCAATGAATATCCAGTATAAAATGACATGCAATACAAAGGAATGGCTAAACACATTTCAATGGCTAAAACAGCATTTTCTGTCAAGTCTTACACGATTTATGAGGTATCCTTACAGACTGAAAGGAAAACTTTTCACAGCGAAAAAGTTTCACTCAGAGAACAGAATTCTTCAGAGTGCAGCGTAAGGTCGTAAAGTTTAGCTGACAGTTAGAATAACCCTTTCAATGCTGGCTAAATCTCCTAGGTAGTTAAGATCTATTCTTATGTAATTTTAAATAAAATAACATTTAAACCAGTTCATTAGTCATTTCCTGGAACCATCCAATAAGAGAATCTACCATATTATATAAGCAGATTTTAATTTGTCTAAAAGATATCTTATCTTAATTTAGAGCAAATCAATACACCTGGATAAAAACAGCGGTATGCTAACACGTGATAATATCACATCAATATATAATTATTCTTAATTCCACCTGCAGAATGGAATGTTTATAACTATATATTCTTTAGTTAACTAAGATTTCTTAATATGGAAATCTGACCATGTTTTATCCAGTCATATATAATGCTATTAATACATTTTAATTAATTTAATTAATTAAATGAAACCAGTATAATTACCAGTTGAGTAGATATTTCATCCGATTGGTAGTCTCAGGAACTTATTTGGATGTCTCTCTGCATGGAGGTGTTGGTTAGAAAGTCAGTAAATTCTAAGTGTTAGAGTTTTAGGAGTAGAGTGTTAGTCTCAGATGTTGTCCGAGTTGGAATCCCCAAACTTCCAATTCCTCTCTCCTCTCCTTTGCATCTCCTGCATACCTATCTTCCCTTTGTCTTAACTTTTAAAGGGCCAGACTCTCTGTACGTCATCAGTTGATAACCCAATAGAAGCACTAGAGGTGTGGTTATCTTCCAGATCACAATTTAGTTATTTAGTCTATAGAGGGCAGTCTTGTCCCACTAAACATACCTATCCAGGAAAGAGTTAACTTTTCCTGGTGGCTATTTTGACGTCATTTTGGCCTATCTAGATAATGGCCATAACTTACGTATCCTTCACAGATCAAAGGGTTTATTTAAGTTTTGTCCAGACTATGTGTCTGGCAATCTGAGTTTTGACCCGTAACTTACAATGGGACCTTATATGTATAGACAGTTAAATTTTATTATTTAATCTTCTCTGTCACAATTGTCTGGGTTTAGATTTGATTATATTCCATTAGCATTTTAGACAGTCTATCCAACCCCCGTTTCTGCTTATCACTTGTTTATACTATGCATTCCTTTAGCTCTGGCAAAGTGGCTAGTCTTACAGAAAGAAATCTTGTGTCTTTTTGTTAACTTGGAAATAACAAAATGGAGTCTGCTCTGTTCAGAGTGACTCAGAATATACACTTTTAATTTCTACCATAGCACAAAATGTCTGCCGATATAAATACCCTGACATAACCCCCCTTTAGTGCATTTCGTAGCCAAAATTAATTTAGCTTATGAATAAGCACTATAGAAGTTTCCAGACATATTGTGCAATCACATCATTTCTAACATAGGCTCGTGCGTGGAATGAACATTTTTGTATATATTTGTACCTGTAAGAGTTTTGAACTTTACACTTAGTACAATCAACCATAATATCATTATTACATAGTACATTGTTTTCATTTGAAAAATGTCTTTGAGAGTTACATATGGTATGGCCAATAAAAAGCAAATCTCCATACGTTCCGGATCAATTAAGAGAGGTATAGCGCTCCCCATCTCAAAGGCCAGATTTAATTGCATAGGCTCAATTGTCTCTCCATCCACATTGGCAAGCATCGCATGAACAATATCCTTGGATACAAAATACAGAGGTATGCGTCCCCCTGCCAATTCGATCATTCCAGTTTGCACTTCGTCAAGAAAAGCAAGTGTGTGGAACAATATTGGGTCATGCAGAAATAGAAGTTCACGCTTAAATAAGTCATGACTTTGGTGCAACTCAGTGGATTTGGCAATTAATTCCGAATGCAAATTTGTTGTAACAACTGTGTCTTCCACAATAGTTAACACGTCTTGGAGAAGTGTTCTTTGCTGGTTTATCACCTGATGAATATCGTTAATGTGTTGCTTTAGTGCATAGATTTCCATATCCAGCTTTTGGACAGTAATAGAGTTGGCTGCAGACATTCCAGTTGCGACAACTGCACTGACAGTGGCACAAACTAATGCAACAATTATAGCGGTGAGGAACCTTTTGGGTCGGTTGCTCATCGGAATAGAACTGGATACAAATGGTTTCCGGGCTTGCTCCAAGATGTTTCGCACACGGTCCTGTGCTCTTTGGAGGTGCATCTGGTACCAAGTCTGTAACTCAGGAAGCTGCATCGATGAAATGTTGTATGCCTTCTCGATGGAAATCTTGGGGTCCACTGACGAACACACGTCGGGTCAGGATCCTCTTCTCCGTTAAGATGAACCCTGGTGTCTCTTGAATCAGGATGCCGGAGGATGGTCCCATCTCTGCGATCGGGTCGGTCCGTAGCTCTTGGCACAGGAGCAGTACGATCCAGAAACACGCCACATCCTTCTTGGCCATCTTTCGACAGTCACGGATCAGGAACTCGTTTCAGACTTATCTACTAATGATTCAAGGTTTGTTAAGCATACAAACTTATAACAGTGTGACACCACTTGGCCTAGGACAACACATTATTACGATTCATCAACATATGTATTCTGTCTAATTCTATTTTTATAACTTCATCTCTCACTACATTTATTACTGACTCTTCAGTAATTTGCCTATAGCAGTTAAACAAGCTAGTAACCTGCTTAGAAATGTAGTTATTGGATGGCAAGGAAATGGTTAATGACATGAACGTACATGAGATCATGGCACATCACAACATTTCACATCATACGATACCAAGTGAATCAAGCATTCATCCAGGTTAGTCGTTCACCCTTCTGCATCCGAATCCACACCTATAATCCTTAATCCTTATAATCCGCAACTGGTTAATGTGAACCCACTTTTCAATAAAATCACCATCCTTAGGAATTTTTATCTTGTACGCTACTGGGGAA